AATTTAATTTTTAAATATTAATACCAACCTTAATTTCTGATTTTTTTAATATATTTTTGTTCTTCTGACTAATTTTGACATTTTATAAAAATTAAGAATATGTCAAAATGACATTGACATTTCAAACCGGAAGTTGCTTATATCTCGAGTAATATTGGAATTAAACGTATCATGTTTGGACTCATTTTAAAGGATTTTTCACGACAATTACAAATATGTCAAAATTGACGTTGACATTCTTAACCGGAAGTTGACCATAACTTCATTAATATTGAAGATAAATATGTCGTGTTTGTACTCCATTTAAAAGATTTTTAATGAAGATTACAAATATGTCAAAATTGAGGTTGACATTTTAAACCTGAAGTTAGTTATCAAACAGGGTGTGTCAAATATCTGGAATATAACCAACAACTTCGCCATTTGTGGTTTTAAAGAAAAATGTTTCAAATACAAGTTTCTTTATTAACCATGGCGCATTTTTTGGCGATATTTTCTAGTTTGTATTGTTTTTTGTTTCGTTGCTATGGCAACCAACATTGTTATTTTAAATGGGATGCATACTTTGATAAAGGCTAAGTCCCTCTATGCGTTGAACATATCAAATCATATGGTTGTATAAGAAAAAAATCAAGAAGTCCTAAATCTGCTAATTACAATCAAAGTAGGCACCGAAGACAGCTTTAAATGTCAAAAAAATTACAGTTTCAACAATTATGAATAATAATGTTAATAATTAATAATGTATGGCCATTGGTAACTATCTTCGGCTATCAACTTTTTGGAAGGTTTTTAACACTTCCGGTGTTAAAACTTTTTTTTAATACTTTGGATACTGTGGATTGTGTAATTTGTGCAATTTTTTGACATTTAAAGCTGTCAATGGCGTTATTTCGGGGCCTACTTTGATTAACAAATGGACAACTTGATGGGGTTCTTTCATGATGTATTCTTTATTAAAAACCTTTAAAACGATTCCAAATATGATGCATTTATCTCAAAAAACCAAAAAGTTCGAACTTCATACAACTTTCAACTTTTAATTTTCACATATTTGTCAACTTCATACAAAATCCTTTAAAATGAGTCCAAACTCGATATATTTAACTTTAATATTAATGGAAATACAATCACTTCCGGTTTGAAACGTCAACGTCAATTTTGACATATTTGTCATCTTCATTAAAAAACCTTTAAAATGAGTCCAAAGATGACGCACTTATCTCAAAAAACAAAAAAGTTAGAATAAAAAACATTAAACCCGAAGTTAGCAACAATGAAGATAGCAATTTAATTTTTAAATATTAATACCAACCTTAATTTTTTATTTTTTTTTATTATATTTTTGTTTTTGTGACAAATATTAAGACATTTTATAAAAATTAAGAATATGTCAAAATGACATTGACATTTCAAACCGGAAGTTGCTTATATCTCGAGTAATATTGGAATTAAACGTATCATGTTTGGACTCATTTTAAAGGATTTTTCAAGACGATTACAAATATGTCAAAATTGACGTTGACATTTCTAACCGGAAGTTGACCATAACTTCATTAATATTGAAGATAAAAATGTCGTGTTTGTACTCATTTTAAAGGATTTTTAATGAAGATTACAAATATGTTAAAATTGAGGTTGACATTTTAAACATGTAGTTAATTATCATATAATAGAAGTTTTATAACTAAAATTAATGTAGTGTTTGTTTCTTAATATTTCTTTTGTTAAAAAAGAGTGCTTAATTTTTAACCTGTAAACTTGTAACTAGGGATTGCAATTCCAGGCAAGTTTTACAATCCCGGGATTTTAAAGTCAACTTTCGTTTCATAGGAGGCTCATAATTGTGTTTTTGGTCAGCTGAATGTACTTTCAAATTGTGCTTTGTTAATAAATGCGTATGAAGGCCTATTGTAGAATCACCCAATTTTCTAGATTTAGGATAGATCCACATTTCTTACATTTTACAGTTTTAATGCCACTCGACTTTAAATAATGCGATTTTGTAAAATAAAAGATGGTTCTTTTTCAGACACGTTTCCAAGGATATTTTTTTAAACACAAGTGCAATCAAATTAATTTCGCTAAATATACAGGTGTTCAGAATGAACTCAGAACACATGTTGCCAAATGTGTTTTTCATGCAGATATGATAATGAAAAAATTTTAAAAACGAACTTTTTTTTATTCTAAATTACAGCTTATTTATCAACAGATATTGAATATTAATGATTGTTTATGATTATTCGCTTTAGAATCGAACGAAGAATGTTGCTACGTGTAATTTCTGAACATCCTGTATATCAATAAAAATTACTTTTAAAACGCACTGTTTATACTATTACTTTTAAAATGCATTTATTCACCATTTGACTGATACGACTCTAACACTTCGTTCTTAATTTCATTTTACAACTTTTTAAACTTTCATTTTATAAATTAATAACTAATAATCCGATTTCGACTTTGATATGCGAACTTTTTTAACAAAACAAAAAGAAATATTAAGAAACTTGTTTGTAAAATGGATAAGATGAGAGATGTTAATCTATTTGTAGAGTCTCTGAAGATTAATTATATACAGTTTAAAAGTACAAAATCAAACTCTAGATTATTTTCTTCAAACATGTTTACACGAATCGTCATCATTTTGTCTCTAGTTTTAGTGGTTAAATTTATGCCACGACTTACAGAAACAGCCTGTATAATCGTAAAACGTACCCAGTGATTAAGCGATGTCATCAGTGTTCTGTGATAAAAATGGACAAGCACAAAATAATTTTCAATAGTTTGAGCCTGTCTATTCTAAGTCTTATATTTTTAGATGAAATCGAAAATCCCGTTTTTTTCAACATTATACATTTGTCGCTTAGTCAAGTAATGCATAACGCAGTCCAATTGTTAACAAAGAACGTCGCGTGATTTCATCCCGGATTACAGTAATATTAGACGATGCGAATATTTTCGGAATTATGCCTCATTCGTTCCGCATGTTCATCATCCTTTTACCGGGGGTCCCCATGTGAACCATGAAAGGTGCTTCCTGAGAACACCGAGATTGACGGAAGAGACGAGAGAGGATGGAAGCCCTCGTTCTTCACCATATGGTACCAAAAGCACCCCCTCAATAATTGCTAATTACCAACAAAAATCCTTGTTATTAGTTATTATCACCGAATCTAATAACAGTTGATATTTTTAAATTGGTAATGACGTGTAATTTGTTGAATTGGAAAATTTAACACTTTCCGTTTGGATGCGTTAAAGTACCATCGCGACGCCCAAAAGCTTAACCATATCGAATCGACGACAGTTTGTCGGTCCTTCTCTCTTAAAACCGCGAAGTTCGCCACAATAAACCGCAATGCAAAATATTATTATGATGAGATTACGCGGTTCCAGTCGAACGCTTTCGAATAATGGTGGACGTCGCAACGCTCCCTGGGGACGGTTCCATGTGACGTCGCGGCGTTTCCGGGATTCTCACTCCCGATTATTATCCGGGACGCGTGCAACTGTAAACATCACAGAGAGAGAACGAGAGATACAGGAAAAATAAGGTTTAACTATTACTATTACTTGTTATCTCAGATATCCAAATTGTAAGTGTCTTCTATTTATGATTGAGAAACCCATTTTGTCTCTGATGATGGCTTTATTGTTGAAATCAGTAAGCTCTAAAAATTTCCATCCTTCCAATTTTTCTTATAACTCAACTAATAGAGTTGAAAATTTTAAAAGCAGATTAGAATTAATAACGATTAACTAAAATGGTGTCTCCACCACAAAGCACTTCACCAGCAAAGCATATTAAAGAATGCAAAACATCAAAATTTCGTTTCATTTATCAGATTTCCATGAAATTGGAGAAACTCCGCCTAACCCAGGCGAAATCTCTTTTAATCAAGTAGTGTATGTCCAAAGTCATTGACTTAAATCCTCAATCCATCTCGCACGCGATGATTAGAAGTCTTTAGCCACTGGTATTGATGGTAATCAGGTGTAAGCTGACATGTCATAGACACCTGCATTGCTATGTCTATGTTTCTATTCCTAAATCTCTGCAACATACATGACATATAAAAAATTAGCAATAATACACTCAGCGGCATAAAAAACGCATCACCTAAAATGATGACCAGTTTCAAACTTCAGTAATTTTGAACACTACCCTTTGCCAATATTTTTGTAGGTGTCTTCCCCATTTTGGCGCTCTTCAATTTCAGTGTTTTCTTCCTGCACTTTGAAGCTTACTGTGGAGTGTACAAAGAAATTAATTTTAAACATAAGGAGCTTGTAGTCTCGTCTGTTCTGATCACTTCTGTTTTTTGTTCAAGTTTTTATTGTTGTTAATACCAAAGTTACAAGACCTAAAGAATAACGCAGCTTTTTCGGCAGCGCCATCAGAAATTAAAGCAAGCCAGAAAATATTTCAGTGACATTTAGTGTCGTTGACTGTTGCTAAACAAGAAAAATGCCTTTAAGTCTTGCAGAAGTTGCTCAGGCAGTGGCTTTGGTGAAAGATGAGAGAGCTCCTTCCAATTATGTAGGATGAAGATTAAGACTAACAACAATGCTGCTATATCTGCTATAAACATTCTGGACAAAAATGTAACATAAAGTAAATCTATCTTGCGAAAATGCGTAATTATCTAATATCATCGTTGAAGAAGGCACATCCTTTCTTTCTAGTTTATTATGAATGCATAAAGTGTAGGAAATGTTTATAATGATGTAGATACGTACTTGCTGTTAATTCCCAATAAATCCTCCTAATTTCTAAATACCTCCTCATTTTATTAATGACAAATATGATCAATTCTCAAAAATAAAAATTCATATGTTTAAAATTTCGAATTTTTTTTTAGTAGCTAGAAGACGTCGTAAAGAAGGTAGGCCGAGACGGCAAAGGACTACATTCAGCAGTGAACAAACTCTTCGTTTGGAAATCGAGTACCAAAGGGCCGAGTATATAAGCAGAGGAAGACGTTGCGAGTTGGCCGAATCTTTACATCTATCCGAGACGCAAATTAAAATTTGGTTTCAAAATCGAAGAGCTAAAGACAAACGCATTGAAAAGGCTCAACTCGATCACCAATACAGGTAATTAAAAATCGAATTTTAAAAAAGTATTTTGGTGCTTTTAATCCATTTGCATCATAAACTCAAATATATACCACAATATATCACAGCTTGTATTAACTTAACTTTTGAACTTTTTCAAAGTTACTATCATGTTTTTCAAAAAAGCCCATTGCTTTGTCAAGGTGCTCAATTGCTTCTAGAAGTATTTTCGTTATCAAGTCTTCAGATGGTTCAATATTATTGGTGCTTCTTGTATTTCAAGATTTTTTTATTAAAATTGAGTTTCCTGATTGGTCTTGTTTTTTCCCCAATTTGGAAATAAAGTCATCTGTCAATAGTGTGTATAAGCGCGCTGTCCTTACAAGGCCATATCAATATCATAGAATTTGTCAAGTCATCAGGAATTTAGTCTGTAAATACAGCCTCTGTCCCAGCCGTCACAAAATACAAGAGCTCAAAAACACAAAAAAAAAGGCTTAGCACATTATATCTTACAGGAGCGTGGCTAAGTACAGTCATGTTCACGGGAAATGCACACTCAAGGTCAAGCGCTGTTGTGAGATCCGACATGCCGCTGGCTAAACGGGCTGAGCCGTCGGTTTTGTTGATGATGACGTTGAGCAGCTCTGGGTTTTGGTGTCAATCATGTCTAGAATTATTGCTTTCAGGTGCGTGTATAGATCTCCAAGCTCAAATGTGTCTGCCTTCCTTGACAAGCTGAGTTCCACGTTGTGTCATATATAGGGTGTCTCTGACTTCCTGTATTGTATAGGGGATATAAATATAAATATGTTGGATTTTGATGAAAGAGCCACAATGAGATTTAATACACTCTTAGACGAATTGTCTCTTGATCAGGTAATTAATCTACCCACTAGAACCACCACCACTTCGGTTTCTCTGATTGATTGTTTAGTTACGAACAATTCAAAGAGTTGTACAAACCAGATAAACAGGCCTTTAAATATTTCAGACCATAACCTAATCCAATGTGATATAATGTTTTCAGGCTTGAAGTCCGCTCCGACAGTCAGATTATGCAGGAATATATCTGGCATGGATGACTCCGACTTAAGGCGTGATCTCGCTTGTTTACCTCTTCATAACATCTATCATATGAATGATTTTAATCAAAAAGTAAACTTCTTAAACTGTCATCTGTCGATACTGTTGAATCTACATGCACCGCTGCGTCCTCTTAGGACTACTAAGCCTTTTACTCCATGGATAACGCCCAATATTAGGTTCATAATGCTCAGAGAACAGACTCTGGGTAAATTTAGGAGAACAAAACTAGCCCCTCATTTCGATTATTACAAATCTTTGAGAAATTTAGTTACATCGGCAAAAAAAGCTTATTTCAATAGCACATTTAAAAATATGGACGGGCAGAGAGTCCAAGTCCAAGCCAATTATTCCTGCACACCTGCATGATGTGAACGAAATTAATGACCATTTCTTAAAATCTGTCGGCCATACTGGTGTAGATACTGCTTTACTTACGTTTTATAATACAAATACTCTTTTTGCTGAATCCCATGACTGGTTTTCTTTTAATACAGTTTAATACAGTTGATGATCAAATCGACAGCTGCTGGAACCGATGAAGTAAACATCATATTTATTAGAAAATGCCTTCCGGACTTATTGCCATACATTCTGCACATCGTGAACTCCTGCCTTGAGCAATCAGTATTTCCCGATGCCTGGAAGTCTGCTGTTATAATGCCCTTACCAAAAAAAGTGAATCCTATCAATATTCTTCCAGTCCTTTCCAAAGTCTTGGAAAAGTGTATGGAGGTTCAGCTACGTACATACAGTATGTCCCCGGATCGCGGGGATTTTTTGCAAAACTTTCAACCACTTTATCATTAAAATTATTTAGGTTTTTATTTATTATGGTGCTTCTTAACCATGTTTTTAGACTTCTGAGGCTGCTAAAGGATCGCTCTACTGTACAGGTTGTGCATGGTAAAGCGATCAAAATTTTCAATGCTTTTTCAGTTTCGGGAAAGAAGAAATTTGTTTCTTTTAGGACATCAACAACTGTAAGATTTGTTAGATTAAGCCTATCGTGCCACAATTGCTGCCAAAGTTCGATTTCATTCTTTATGTTCGGTAAATCATAAAACTGGGCAATAGATTCACAAGTTTGTTTCAGATTTTCAGTTGTCATCTTTTGCATCTGCGCCGGGTGTAACTTAGATAATGCGAATAATGGCGTGTTTTCTTCAGCAAAACGTACTTCAAGGGAGGTGATAATTGAATACAAGTATGGTATTACTAAAGACCTCTTCCAGTATTCTGAAGGGCTTTCTGCTGGATGATTGCTTCTATGACGTTGTTTCCTCGTAATACGCGGCATTGATGTAATGTTCTCCTCCAGTCTGACTTTCTCCGCAACATTTCGTCCTCAAATTTCGTCCGTCACTTTTTCCGGATTTTCACGGTGGTTTTTAATTAAAAGTAAAATCCTTTTAACGTGTTCCGAGGCTTTGACCACGTCCAAAGCTACAGATTGGAGAACGTTGGCAACGGGTTCCATCAAAGCCTAGTATTTGGCTACCAACATAATCCCGAGAATGAAAGAAATTCTGGAAGTAGCCGCATGCAGTTGGAAGGCACTTTTCCGAGTTGCACTATTTCTTTCCTGAGATAATGTTTGTAAGGCTTCCAGAATTACTGGAAGATTTTCTTTAAAAACTCTGATGGTTTTGTGTTTCTCACTCCATCTTGTCTCGCAAAGTCTGGAAATATTAGCTATCAACTTCCTCCTCAAAACTGATTCCCGAAAAAAGTTTATAGTATCTTTGGTGGTTCCCATGGCATTTCTAATTTCAGGAAGTGAATTTGGGCAAGGTAACAGATGTATGTATGTATGGATTGGGGAGTGGGTTGGGGAAGGTAACAGATATTGAAAAGGAAATTCTAGGTTTCGATAGGAAAGCTGAGGATATCATCTATCAGGGTAATAGATGAATATCTACCCGCTACCTTACGTTATAATATTTTACTAGTATTAAATACAATTTGGATTTATTATGATATGATGTATCAGATAAAACCGTTGCATACCCTGCATTTTTCAAGTCTTTTGCTAGTATTTTATAAGTTTCATAGATTTATATTAATTGGGCGCAGCATCTCTAAATACAGAGATTAACAGATTAGTTTCAAAATATACAAAAGCAAGACAAGTAGTAGGAGGACACTTTTTAGGAAGGACAGAACCTACAAAAGGACTGTCCTATCTAAAGGAGGACGATTGGTCATCTTAGTATATACCACTTTTAACGTCACAACGTTAAGGGGACCCCTAATTCGTTTACTAGTTTGTACAACTATACAACTAGCACCACCTATTGGATCGTTCGTACTAAGTAGGTACAAGGAATTACGTAAGTGCGAAAATACCGAGGTAGTATACCTGTATATTGAACTAAAACTAATACTAGACCTAGAACTAGAAACATTTGGGTTTAGCCATGCATCTTATAAGACGGCTAGATAGGAACTTGAGGACGCTTTTTTCCATGCTGCTAAATCACAAAGGTATCATCCACGACCCAACCCAACCCAACCATAGCTTTGGTTTCCTTAACACTTCTTCTTCAAACATCTCTCCATGTAGAAATTGTTCTGAAGTGCCATGGAATATTTTTCGGTAAATCCTCCGGAATAAGTTTCTGGCGAAAACCATCAATGGCATCTTTGACTGGTGCAAATGGAGACTCCACAACAAAATTTACCAGGATATCATGGGGATCTAACTTGATACTTTTGATTGATTCCAAAAAATGGCAAGGAAAAAAATCTTGACAAAGAGCTGAGTCAAAAACTTCTGTGTTGTTCTGTTAGAATTTTTATAGATTTCATCGATCGCAAATATATTATAATTATAATTTAGTCGCCTATACTATACAGGGTGTACAAAAAGTATGGAATAATGGTTCTACAGCTTTAACTTCAACTTGTATTTAAAAAAGTTTTAAATAAAAGTTACTTGAAACTATTTTTCGCATATCTTGGCGTAGAAATAAAATAAAAATGATGACGGCCTGTATTTTAAGGTTTTTGGATTCCTTTTGACAAGGTGTTGCAAAATGCCATAAGGTTTTAATGCTTTAAACTGCATAGTTCACCAGTATAATAAAAAAAATTTGGTAATACGGGTTTTATTTCTTATTAATGATGTAAATGAATTAAAACACCCCATTTTGTGTATCCACCCTTAGTTATTGTAAAAATGCGTGTACAATTCGAATAAATACCGCTTAAGGGTTGACAGAACGATCAAAGAACATCATATTAACAGGTGTTCGACGTAATTAAATTTCTNGATTTTCACGGTGGTTTTTAATTAAAAGTAAAATCCTTTTAACGTGTTCCGAGGCTTTGACCACGTCCAAAGCTACAGATTGGAGTACGTTGACAACGGGTTCCATCAAAGCCGAGTATTTGGCTACCAACATAATCCCGAGAATGAAAGAAATTCTGGAAGTAGCCGCATGCAGTTGGAAGGCACTTTTCCGAGTTGCACTATTTCTTTCCTGAGATAATGTTTGTAAGGCTTCCAGAATTACTGGAAGATTTTCTTTAAAAACTCTGATGGTTTTGTGTTTCTCACTCCATCTTGTCTCGCAAAGTCTGGAAATATTAGCTATCAACTTCCTCCTCAAAACTGATTCCCGAAAAAAGTTTATAGTATCTTTGGTGGTTCCCATGGCATTTCTAATTTCAGGAAGTGAATTTGGGCAAGGTAACAGATGTATGTATGTATGGATTGGGGAGTGGGTTGGGGAAGGTAACAGATATTGAAAAGGAAATTCTAGGTTTCGATAGGAAAGCTGAGGATATCATCTATCAGGGTAATAGATGAATATCTACCCGCTACCTTACGTTATAATATTTTACTAGTATTAAATACAATTTGGATTTATTATGATATGATGTATCAGATAAAACCGTTGCATACCCTGCATTTTTCAAGTCTTTTGCTAGTATTTTATAAGTTTCATAGATTTATATTAATTGGGCGCAGCATCTCTAAATACAGAGATTAACAGATTAGTTTCAAAATATACAAAAGCAAGACAAGTAGTAGGAGGACACTTTTTAGGAAGGACAGAACCTACAAAAGGACTGTCCTATCTAAAGGAGGACGATTGGTCATCTTAGTATATACCACTTTTAACGTCACAACGTTAAGGGGACTTCCCCTAATTCGTTTACTAGTTTGTACAACTATACAACTAGCACCACCTATTGGATCGTTCGTACTAAATGGGTACAAGGAAATACGTAAGTGCGAAAATATCGAGGTAGTATGCCTGTATATTGAACTAAAACTAGAACTAATACTAGACCTAGAACTAGAAACATTTGGGTTTAGCCATGCATCTTATAAGACGGCTAGATAGGAACTTGAGGACGCTTTTTTCCATGCTGCTAAATCACAAAGGTATCATCCACGACCCAACCCAACCCAACCCAACCATAGCTTTGGTTTCCTTAACACTTCTTCTTCAAACATCTCTCCATGTAAAAATTGTTCTGAAGTGCCATGGAATATTTTTCGGTAAATCCTCCGGAATAAGTTTCTGGCGAAAACCATCAATGGCATCTTTGACTGGTGCAAATGGAGACTCCACAACAAAATTTACCAGGATATCATGGGGATCTAACTTGATACTTTTGATTGATTCCAAAAAATGGCAAGGAAAAAAATCTTGACAAAGAGCTGAGTCAAAAACTTCTGTGTTGTTCTGTTAGAATTTTTATAGATTTCATCGATCGCAAATATATTATAATTATAATTTAGTCGCCTATACTATACAGGGTGTACAAAAAGTATGGAATAATGGTTCTACAGCTTTAACTTCAACTTGTATTTAAAAAAGTTTTAAATAAAAGTTACTTGAAACTATTTTTCGCATATCTTGGCGTAGAAATAAAATAAAAATGATGACGGCCTGTATTTTAAGGTTTTTGGATTCCTTTTGACAAGGTGTTGCAAAATGCCATAAGGTTTTAATGCTTTAAACTGCATAGTTCACCAGTATAATAAAAAAAATTTGGTAATACGGGTTTTATTTCTTATTAATGATGTAAATGAATTAAAACACCCCATTTTGTGTATCCACCCTTAGTTATTGTAAAAATGCGTGTACAATTCGAATAAATACCGCTTAAGGGTTGACAGAACGATCAAAGAACATCATATTAACAGGTGTTCGACGTAATTAAATTTCTAATTACCAATTCCACGATATCATCATCATTATCATCGAGTTTTAATTATTTCCATAAATTTATTATCTTATTTGAAGTGTATAATATATTTTTAGGAAAATTTTTGGTACATTCCCCGGTACAATGTGTCCCATATGCGTTGACACCGCTTGTTATCATTCAACGACACCCTCGATTTTACCACACTTCAATTCAAGATCAACAGAAACAACGGCGAGCGAAAACACCAAAGAACAAAGTTCTGTGATTCAATGAACTATTATAAGTAAGAGAATGTTAAAATAATTTTGGAAGTTAGTTAAATAATTAAGACTGTATTTAAAATTAATATTAATCTCATCTATAATCCAACTTAATATTGTTAAAAAAAAATGATTTTAGTAGGATTATCTAGTCATATTTATAGTGTTATTAATCTTAACATGCACGTTGAATATTATAAGTTTCTTTGTTTATTCTTCACTCAATAAATTATTCAAAAAAAAAATAATTTTTATTTTCTCATTTATTTCTGTTTCGGTTGATTGTAGTTTTAGAAATTTTCTATTGGGGCTTAAAGAGATCATTAAGATCCTCATCGCGAGTTCCAAGTAATATTAGGGTGGGTTTTTAAAAGAAATGATAATAGCCGAGTTCGAAACGACCGAAGGGATGGATGGCGTGAGTTTTAAATCGGCCACGGGAAAAGCCAGATGATGGACCGCGCGCGCCAAGGGCTAATCTGCGACCGCTTTTGTATAACATCTGGCCACGCTCCGTTTGAGTCTATGATTGCCCGGCACGATATTTATATGGCAAGGCACAATAAGGAGCCCTCTTCTTATCGTTTCCCAAACCAACTCACTCCCCACGAACCCCCACACAAAATCTTTCACCTTAATGAGACTCTTTTAGACCGAGTGGAAGTTATTTTTTTTTATTATGTAGTTTTAATCTTTATAGGTAATTAAATTAAAACATAAAATTAAAAAGAAATAATTTAGATTTACCTAATATCTCGTTTTTAAAGATTTTTACAATAAATACAGTGTGTTAATTAATTATCGTACCAGAGGTCATCATTGCAAGTATGCAACCAATATCACAACATTAGTATTGCAATACGCGTCCTGTGATATTGGTTGCATAATCGTACGATAATTAATTAACACAGTGTATAACCTCAAATCATAACCTACAAATCTTTTCAAATAACCTCCGACATCTAGACCATAGTACTTAACAATAAAGGAATTACCAACTGTAACGCAGCAAATAAATTCATAGAATCAGATTTCTCCAAGTCATACAGAGGTTCAAAACAACATCGAAACGGAGGATGGACCTAATAATTAGCACTGCTTCGATCATAGTAACATTTAAAGGAACAACTTTACCACAAATAGTTACACTCGTCTTCAGTATCAGACACCCAGAACTATACATTGCCAAAAAACAGTACAAATGTAAAACAAGATTGACTATGAACAAAAAAATTCACCAAGATGCACCTTCTGCGGTAACAATCATTACAGCAATGAAAGAGGGACCCCACCAATTATGATAAAATGCCCAGAATGCACAAGACAAAAGAAAATGAATTAGATTATGACCAGATATAATATCTCAGCTTATGAAGCTGCCCAGAAAGTGGGTACGGACTATACTCAAGAATCAACAATTAATTCATACAGGTAATGATGGACCCGAGAAGGTTTGCAGAACTTAATGCAAACCAACCTAAACAAACCATCAACAAAGAGACAACTGGACAAACATTCGATACAAAAACATCATACAAAAAACCATCACTTTGCCCAGAAAGTGTAACAACACTCCGTCTGAATTGTTATACGATTTTAACAGGTACAGAATTCTCTCTAACGAAACACAAATAAATATCCCCACCATGATGAAAAGATCGGAACAGAAAGTCAAGAAGGGCCAAAGTTCGTCTGATTCACAAATGGAATATAAGGAAGGATTGTGCTCCCCGCCACAGCAATTTTGTGGAAAAATCAATCCTTCAATAGTATAGAACAGGCATATTCATCAAATAGTTGGTACTCGTGCCTTAATCGTCAATGAGAAGCCATTTAAAATAATGACATGGAACACTGCATATGCAAGACTCACTACTGCCAAGATAACTTATGCACCATTTTTCTGAAGGAAACCAAGGAGGCAGTTAACATGTCCAAACCAGAGCAATAGCGGTTAAAAGTGAACATAAGACGAGGAATTGCGGAGCATAATCACAATATGGTAAGAAAATTTTGTGTGAAAGGTGCTGAAGGAAACGTTTTTGGGCTTGCTCTAGGCGATCAATGTAGATGTGATACTAGGGATTCCAAACGGTAGATGCATAGTTAAGAACAGATGATACATAGGCAAAATAGAGCGAACGACATATAAAGCTGAGCATCCGGGAGGCCTTCTTAACAATATAATCAATATGAGCAGAAAATGTAAGTATGGAGTCAAAGAGAATGCCAAGATCTCGATACCAAATTGTACGCTTGAACGGCATCTGGGTCAGAGCTGGGAAAACTACTTGAAAAGAATAGTGGAGTATAACTACTAACTACTTTTAAAATATGGTACTTAGATTATTAACTACCAAGTAGTTAGTAGTTAAATATCTAACTACTTTGTTAACTACATAATAAAATGCACTTTTTAGACCTAAAAACCCAATGCCGTACCTATAAGTGCAAAACTCATAAAAAGGTGTACAATAATTAATAAATGTAAGATAAAATAAACGTCTTTTTATTATACAGGGTGTTTCATGAGAAATGGTACATATGTTAATATGTTATAGATTTGTTCATTTTAAGCAGAAAAATTCTTAAAAACATGTGCTCAATTCTCAAAGGTAACTGAGATACAGCCAATTAATGCATAAACTGATTTATTTAAATGTGTACATAAAATATCGAAATTCGGACTTTAAAGGACGGGTTCGAATATCTCACCGCCTAACTCGATGCACTTGGCTGATATCTTGAAGATATCACGCACTGTGCTGCGTAATTTATCCTGATGTGCCTTGATTCGTGCGGCTCTGGCAATAATACGAGCGATTAGCTCATCATGCGTGTTTACTTTTACTTGATAAAGATCACTTTTCAGCCATCCCCACATTCCATAATCTAACGCCGGATTAAGGTCCGGTGATCGAGCTGGCCAAGTTATAGACAAGTTATATTATGGTTTGGTTCAGGTAGTGCGTCACTTGACAGCCGTAGTGAACATATTGGCTCTGATAGCCAAAGGAATCTTCTAACAGAATTGGAAGGTCATTGGGCACCAACTATAAGGGCTGGATTCAAAATCGAGTCTACATCATGTAGAATGTACAATTATAGACCGAGAATCTGTTCGGACGAGCTCGGCATCGAGTCGCCCATGCACGTTGAGATTGAATACTTGTACTTCGAGTAAATGCCGTCTCCTATAGTCACGACGAGCAGCACGTGCATTTCTATTGCAGAAATATAACAAAACACCATATCAGCATATTCTGCATGAGCCAATATGTGTGGTATTATCAACAACTTAGTCGACACGTCAACCAAATAATGTTAAATGTCAAACATTGACAAATAACTGTTTCACAACAGCCGTGCGTGATATCAATTTATGCATTAACTGGTTGTATCTCAGTTACTTTTGAAAATTGAGCACATGCTTTTAGGAATTTTTCTGCTTAAAATGAACAAATCTATAACATATTAACGTATGTACCATTCCTCATGAAACACCCTGTATAAAACTTATTTTAAAGGTAACTAGGTTTCTAGTTAATAGTTAACAACTGTTATACATTGTGTTAGACTTGTGTACATAAGTATGTACATACTAGATATTTTGAAGTACTTAAACTGTCTTAAAAGTAGTTAAATTACTTAAAAGGAATTAAAATAAACAAAAATAGATAGAATACCTCAAGTAGTTAACAATGAGGAGTTTACTACTTTCTGCGAATATTTTATGCCAGCATAAAATAAGCGTGTAGTTAGAATATAACTACTTTTACACAAAAAGTAGTTGACTACGTAGTTAACTACTGCCTAGCTCTGATTTGGGTCCCAGGTCAGTCTAGAGTTTCTGACAATGAAGCGGAAGATGAATTAATACGAGACACAGCACTAAAGCGTTTGTGGGACTAGAGCCAGCAGTTGGTGTATCATTTGCGTTGGCCAAACATAGGATTGAACTGTGGGCTGAAGAGAGACTTCGCCTACTGTGGACCTTAAACTGGGTGTCTTTACTGGGCACGACCCTGGTGTGTTTGAAAGAGTTCGGCAGTAAATGACGAGAAGATTGAATGCTTATATTCAGGCTGGGGGAAGTCATTTCGAACATTTATAGTAGATTGAGCAACTTTACATGTACTTTTTGATAATAAAATGTTGTTATTGTCGTAAATTTTGTTCGCCCTGTATCTTCGAAATAAAGGTGTTTTTCAAAAATCATCATAAGACACAATATTCTTAGAATAGGTCAAGAAATGACGCCTTGAATTTTTGCCGTATGTTTACTTAACACCCTGTATAGCATCAACTTTTCTATTGTTACCAAGTGTATTTATCGAACATTAATTTGCTATATTATTCAGTTTTCAAAGAAGACTTTAGACCCGAATGTTTCTGGTTCTAGGTTAAGTGTTAGTTCTACTTTTCGTTCAATAAAAATATACCACAATCTAACGCTGAATAACAATTAAAACTAGAATTAACACTAGACCTAGAACTAGAGGGCTATAAGTTGGAGGAGAAGGGGTTTTGAACAAAAAGTTATATGAAAGACACTCCTTAAATTTTGCTGAAAAATTCCTTGAAATTTTTCTTTGTATACAGGGTGTCCCGTTAAGCGTATGGAGCGGCTGTATCTCGACAACGGTAAGGCCTAGAGGTTTGGGAAAAAAATGCTTATAAGCAAAGTGACCAAGAGAAATGGCTGGAAATTATTTTGAAATTCGACCCATAGGGGGCGTAACTGCCATAGAGAAACATAAAATTCCCGCTATCTCAGAAAGTTAGACGATGAGCTATAACTTTGACAACATCATTTAAAGAGCATTACATGCTCTTTTAAAAGACTTGTTAATCGAAAGTTGGAACGATTTTTTAATGAAAAAATCTTAGTAGGCTTTGCAATCTTTGTCATAAATATTTTTGACGTTTAAATGTCAGTGGTTTTCTTACTATTATTATTGTTTTATTTAAAATTTTAAAACGTCGTGTGAACGAGCGCAAAATGCAAACTTTATTTAAAAATTAATTTGAAAAAAATAATAATAGTAAGAAAAACACTGACATTTAAACGTCAAAAATATTTCTGACAAAGATTGCAAAACCTACTAAGATTTTTTCATTAAAAATTTATTCCAACTTTCAATTAACAACCCTACAGCTTAACAGTTAGTGTTTGCTTAATTATTTTTTTTCTCAGAAATTATTAAATTTTCGAAGAAAATCAGAGAGACAAAAAAGTTTTAGAATAGTTTTATCTATCTAACTGAAATTTTTCCAATGTATTTATCATCTTCATAAAAAAAATCTAGGCATAAATTGAACG